TGTGTGTGTGTGTGTGTGTGTGTGTGTGTGTGTGTGTGTGTGTGTGTATTTTTTTTTCCGTTTTACTCTATTGGGTCTTCTAATCCACAAACACAATATGTCTCCTCGTTCATTTGGATTAGATTTGTTTTATTTAATCCGAATTTTATACCCTTTAACATTTAAGTCTTACCCATGCTGTGACAAATTTAAGTCCACATATTTATCTTTCGGGAAGAAAACTTGAAAGGTATTGCACTTTCTCAATTGCAGCATCCACGCGCACATTGATAGCACATAAAGACACAACTGTGGCTGTGTCTGGGAGCCAGTGCGGTGGTGGAGGTGTTGCTCTGATCGGTTCTTGTGACCCCTTAGGAATTTCTGCAGACTGAGATGTAATCTCTCTTTGCTCTTTTATTTCCCTGTTTGCCTCTTACTGGTTAGAACTCTTAGCTCTAACACTGAGTGAGACTATCAGGTTAAGGACATTCTTGACTTGTTTTACATTTTGGAGAGGGAGCGCTCACTTTTAACCATCAAGTAGCCTGTTCTGCAGGCGCCTGTAGACATCCTTTATCAAAGAGAGGGCGTTTCCTCTTCCCCTACTTTTCCAAGAATTATATATGTACACGGTAAAAATTTGCCCAACGCCCTTTCTGAATACACTGTGGCATTTTATTGCTTCAGTCAGTGTGGTGGGTTTTGCTGAGTGACTTATGGATACTGGACCAGCATCGTGCTTTTGAAACAACCTGCAGTCAGTTATGCTTGCTGAATACTATTGCTAATAATTAAGGGCCTTCCCGGCCACTTTCAGGAGGGACATTGTTCCGAGGGATTTCTGCCTGTGTAGTCTTAGGGTCAGGCTTGTGCTAACTTCACGAGATGAGCCAGGAACTGCAAAGCTTCGGTGTCAGCTCTCGTTTTGGTGTTTGGCAGCGTGCTTCAGTGAGATCACCTGGGTGTCGATGCTGTTTGGGAAACTTGTTTCTGTGAGGTGTGTGTGCATGTATGTATGTACATTTTCACGTGTGCAGCTGCCCATGTGTGATGGGGATGTGCACGTGGAGGCCAGAGCTTAGAGGTAGGTATCCTTAACTGCTCTCCGTTTTACCTTCTGAGGCAGGTTCTCTCACTGAACCCAGAGCTCACTGATTCTCTGAGATCCCCATCTCTGCCTCCCAAATGCTGGCATTGCAGGTAGCAGCTACAACCTCCTGGCTTTCACACGTGTCCTGGGGATTAGAACTCCGGTCTCCATACTTAAACAGCAAGCTCCCTACCCGCTGAGCTATGACCTCTCAGCCCCTAGTTGGGGACTCTTTGAGTTTTAAGTTCAGGTTTTTCCTAAGAGTTACAGGGCTGTCAAATGATTTTGGGTGATTTGTGGTGGTCTGCACTTTTAGTGAACAGTTTCACTTTGGTCTAAGTTGCCAAGTTCATGTGTGCACAGCACTTTACAATGTTCCTTTATCCCTTGGTGCTCACAGGGTCTGTGAGGCTATCCCTGCTTCATTCCCAAGATTGCCGATTTTCTTTGCCAGCCTAGAGATTTGTCAATCGCATTGATCTTTGTAACAGGGCAGGATACGCCACAGATATTCCCCAGTTTTTAAGTTGTGCCTGGTCTATCCTCGTTTACTACAAAGATGTCCTTTACCACAAAAATGAATGGCATAGTCCTAGCCACCTCCATCCCCTCCCACCTGACTCCCTGCAGGTCCACACAGCTGTTTTTAGTTGGACTGAGGTTCACTTTCTATACCCTTTCTGGCTCTTTGGTCATCAGGCCTTGCCTACTTGCTGGCATCACTCCTGAAGAGAGGCTTGCATTAGTAATTCTTGTTTTAGGTATGTCAAATGGTGCCCCTGGAAGGCCCACCGTTGGAATTTGTACCCCTGAGTGAATGAATGGAGATTTCACATCCAGCTTTCCAAAGTCAACCCTCAGCTTCATCCTCTAGCATAAGTAACCCTGAAAACAACCATATACCTCTCCTGCAGCTCAGCTTGTCATGGGGAAGATGGACCAATAGAGAATCCCTGACCAGGGTCTTGGTGAGGCATTTCCATAACAGTAGGTTCTTAGAAAGGGAGTCTCAGGGGTCCAGAGGAGAAAAAGATTTAGGCTCAGACCGAAGCTTTCCTTTGGCCCTGTGATCTTTTAGTCTTATAGAAAGTTAAGCAGCGAGAACTCAGCTTAGCCTCTCTAGTCAAAGCACAGTGGACAGATCAGCAGCATCAGATAGATGGTGAACTTGTTGGAGATGCTGGCTCTAAAGTCACATGCTAGAACTGTGGAACCAGAATCTGTATTTTAAGGTTTCCCAAGAATCAGTGCAAACACTAGAAAGTGAAAAGCCCTGCTCTGTTCATATGGTTAGTATTTTACCACATGGGAGAGTTCTGGTTTTCCACAGGTGATCTCATTTATCCCAATTCAAACTTTATCAGGGGACAGGGACAATTGTCTGACTTCTTAGACTTTTAGAACTCCGCACTAGTAGGATGGGCAATGGATAAAAAAAAAAAAAAACAAAAAAAACAAAAAGCAAACAACAACAACAAAATCCTACACCAAAGGCAGATATCAATAATCAATTGCAGGACTTTCATCCATGCCTGGATCTGTCTTCTAAACTGTATGTATTTAAGGCAGCCCTCTGATTATAGGCTCTGCCCAACGGAGCTTTCCAGCAGCTTTTCAGCTTCTCACTTCTGGGAAAGGAGAGGCAGAGCCTGTTTTACCCTATTGCTCCACCACACAGAACTTGTGTCACTATGTACAGCCCAACCTCCCTGCTCTTCAGTCTCCTGTCTCTAGCAGTGGGTGCGTGGAAGCATTTAATCTGCAGGTTTCTGCACAGAGGACCTAGCAGAGAAATGCAGTCTAATAGCGCTGGCTCAGTAAGTTGTAGTATTTATTCCAGCAGTAACATTTATAGCTTCTGCAGAGAATTGGATGATTCTGTAGGTAGAACAAAGACATTCAAAGTTGCAGTAATATTACAAGTTCTCTGCATCTTGTTCTTTTCCTCTCGGAGCTTCCTTTGCACAAAACAATCTGAGCATTGTGAGCAGCTGGAAGACTTAGCTCTGGACTCTCTGAGGTACTATGTGAACCCCCTTTTCCTAATTAGAGTGGGCACAGAGCCTAATTCTCACGGTGTGCCATCTCTTTCATTACCCACTAAGCAATTTCAAGAGGAAATCATAAGAGTGGTGAGATTTCCGTAAGTGAGGAAAACTGAATCACAATGCCCTGAGTACCAGCTAACAGAGTCCGTTGACCATGTGGATTTTGAAGGCAGTATCATGTAAAGCATCACAATAAAGAATCTGGAGGCCTGGAAAGATGGCTGAGTCAGCACACTGAAGACTACACAAATATGAAGCCCTCCTACACACCTACAAAGGGCAAAGCAGTTAAGATGCGTGGCGCTGAAAAGAAATGGCGGGAAGGAGGAGGTACTCAGTAGGAGTCAAGTAGAAAGAGTCCAGATCAGCGCTGATGCCCATCTGGACTGATATATATCCTTAAGAGACTAGATACAGGAGAGATAGAAAGAAAATGGGATGGCAGAGAGGAATGGATATGAAAAATCTTAACATAGCTAGTTAGCTATAGGGAAAATGCCATCTTGATACATTCTTACTCCAGACAGGGTTATAGCATTCATTGGCTTAGCACACTTACCTTCAGTGCTTTCTTCTGCAGCACTCAGGTTAATGGAATTGCCAGGGTGTCTCAGATATGAAATCGTTGTGTCATAATTATGTGGTTCTTCTAACTCCACACTGAGAAAAACGATGGGAAAGGGGTTACTTGAAATAACACATTTCTTCACGTCAGCCAGGGAAGCTGGTAGGCCAACTGCAGATCTTCACCTCTCCCCCACTCCTCCAAATCCAACCCCCAAGTCTTACACTTAGTTCTGTAGCAGACCATCTGCTAGGGCCTCTGTCCCAGTTCCCAGGGGACTAAGTAGAACCTGATGGAACACCTCATTTTCTTCCTTCCTGTGAACCTCCTCAGACACCTCCTAGCCCATTCCCATTCCAAGTGTCAGCTCCCAATACCTAGAAACACAGTCTATCGGAAGCCTCAGTGCCCATACCTAGCAGGATACCAGAAGAACTTCCTACCAGGAGTCACAGCTACCACTCCCTTATAAGAACCAGAGAGGGCAACACAAACCAAGGACCAAAACACCCACCCAACAAACACAACACCATATATCAGCCTCTAGAATTCTAGTCTTCCCAAACCTAGACGCCTAGAAGAAGCCAGCATTAGAAGAATAAATAACAGGACAATATGTCTCCGCTAGAGCCCAGCAACTCTGCCACAGTAGGTTCTGAATATTGCAAAATAGCTGAAGCACAAGACAAAGACATTAAAACAGCCTTTATGAATATGATAGGGGTCCTTAACGAGGAAACAAACAAATCCCTTAAAGAAATCGATAAAAACACACACAGTGGAAGGAAGCAAATGAACCAGTTTGACGACTGGAAGTGAAAGTAGAATCAATAAGGAAACTGAAAGAAATCTGGAGATGAAAAGTTTAGGAACTTGAAAAGGAGCCTTAGAGGCAAGCCTCACCAACAAGATATAAGAAGAGAGACTCTCAGACACTGAAGAAACAAACAAACAAAAAAATTGGATACTTTGGTCAAAGAAAATGTTAAATTAAAAGAAATCCTGGCATGAAACATTCAGGAAATCTGAGAAACTATGAAAAGAACAAATTTAAGAGTAACAGGAATAGAGGAAGGAGAAGAAAGCCAGGTTAACAGTGTAGAAAATGTTTTCAACAAAAAATCATAGACTATTTCCCTAAACTAAAGAAGGAGATGCATAACAAGGTATAAGAAGCATCCAGAACACTGACTAGACAGGACCAGAAAAGAAAGCACCCTTGGCACAAAATAATCCAAACACTAAAAGTACAGAACAAATAGAAAAATATCATAAGCTTCAAGGGAAAAAGACCAAATAACATATAAGGGCAGACCTATTAGAATAACACCCAAGTTCTCAACAGAGACTCTAAAAGCCAGAAGGGCAGAGACAGATGCTAGCCCAGATAACTATATCCAACGAAAGTTTCAATCACCATAGATGGATAAAATAAGAGATTCCACAATAAAAACAAATTTAAGTAGTTAACTATCAACAAATACAGCCCTAAGGAAGGTACTAGGGGGAAAACTCAAACCAAAAGAGGTTAACAAAGCAAAAAAACAAAAACAAAACAAAAAAAAAAAAAACCAAACAAAAAAAACCCCAAAACAAACAAACAAAAACAAACAAACAAAAACCCATAAGAAATAAACTACCGCAGGCCAGCAAATCAAAAGACATATACACACACACAACCACCACCAAATAACAGCAATTAAAAAAAAAAACATTGCTCATTGATATCTCTCAACATTAATGGTCTCAATTCCTCAATAAGAACATACAGTCTAACAGCATGAATGTGAAAATTGGATCCACCCTCCAGCTGCAGCCGGGAAACACATCTAACATCAAGGATATACATCACTTCAAGGTAAAAGGATGAAAAAAAAGTATTTCAAGCAAATGAACCTAAGCAGCAACCTGGCTTAGCCATTTTAACATCTGACAGAACAGACTTCAAATCAAAACTAACCCGAAGAGCTAGGGAAGAGCAGACACTCAGTGACAGAAAAATCCATGAAAAGGACAATGGAATTCTTAACATCTATGCAAGGGTACACAAGGGTACACAGTTTTTAAAGAAACACTATTACTGCTTGAATCCCAACCTGACTCTCCTACTCCAATAGTGGAAGACTTCAACCCCCTACTCTTGTCAATAGACAGGACATCTAGACAAAACTACACAGGGAAATGCTGGAGCAAACTGACACTAGAAACCAGATAGATCTGACAGATAGTTACAGAACATTTCACCCAAACAAAACAAAAAGTATAACCTTGTTCTCAGCACCTTCTGGGTTTTCCTCCAAAGCTGACCACATACTCAGACACAGAGCAAGCCTCAACAGATACAAGAAAATTGAAATTACACCCTGTACCCTACCTGACCATCATAGATAAAAGCTGGATATGAGCAACAAAAATAACAGAAAGCTTACACACACACATGGAAACTGTATAACACACTACTGAAAAAAAAAAAAAAAAAGGTCAAGCTGGACATGGTGATGCATGCCTGTAATCCAGCACTCAAGGAGGCAGAGGCAGGTGGATTGCTGTGAGTTCAAGGCCAGCCTGGTCTACAAAGCAAGTCTAGGACAGCCAAAGCTGCACAGAGAAACTCTGTGTCAAAAACCTAAAAAAAAAAAAAAATTAAAGACTTCCTAGAATTGAAGACATGACATGCCCAAATGCACAGGACATAATGAAAGAGGTTCTACGAGTCAAATCCCTAGCACTAACTACCTTCCCAGAAGCAATCCCCAGTTGATAGACACTTGCAAATGAAAATTTAGTTTTCTCCAAGGGAATCTCACTGGGCAACCAAACAACTTTTAAGGAGAGTCTGCATGCCCGGCAGGAGACGGCCAGTAGAAAATGAACTCGGTGGCATCTTTGGAGGTTCTGTGTCTCACAATGCTGTGCCAGGGCTTTCCCTTGTTTGTTTGTTTTTGTTGCTGTTGTTTCTTAATTTTATCATACTGTTTATTTATTTTTTCTTTTCTCTTTTTACCCCACAGGTCCTCTGTGTATAAATTGTGGCTTCTAGTTTAGTGTTTTTATGGGATTCTGTTTTTTTATTTTTTGCCTTCTGTACTTTTCTTTATGCTCGTTTGTTTTGTCCTATTCTGATACGCTAGCCTTTGTTTCCTCTTGATATATATTCTTTTATTATATTATTATCCCTTAGAAGTGTCTTTTTAAAATGAGATACAAAAAGGGATGGATACAGATGGGAAGGGAGGGAAGAACTTAGGAGTCGAGGGAGGGGAAACCATATCAAGACAGATTATGTGAGAAAAAAAATCTATTTTAAATAAATGAAAGAGTAAAAAGAAATAACGCATCTTTAAACACATTTAAAAGCTCTTTGTATGTTTTTCTCAGTAGAGAAATAGCACCTCGCCCATCTAGTCTTCTACACAGACGTAGGCCACATACCAACCCCAACCCCAAAGTACAGGGATTCACAGTAAATATAATCACGCAAAGTATTGCAGAGAGATGACAGAGTCCACACAGAAGTCAATAAAGTAGAATCCCAGGTTACACATGTGGTGAGGAAACCCACAAATAGGGAACTCAGGTGAGAGCTGTTCAGAGTTCTCAGCCAGGCAGCCAGGAGGTTAATGCCCAAGTCAGAGGGTCAAGCTGGGTCACACCTGACTGCAAAGCCACAAGTGTGCTATTAACAGAAAGTCTATAGTGACAAATGCTGCCTGACCTATGACGGCATCTAGAAAAAAACCTGCACACTCTCCCAAGGGAATGAGCAAGAAAGCTTTTGCTTGGTGGCCACAGAGCTGGACTACATGGCTCGAACAAACCAGAAGCTCAAAACCCAGGACCAAGAACTGGTGGGGGAGAGCATGCATTCAGTCTCTGTGTTGCAGAGATCCAACACTGAGCCTGGAAATCCAGACCCGCATTGTGTAAACTAGAGGTCTCCTGAGAAGGCTGTGCCTGTGCTGAAGGCTGCGCCTCTGATGGACTGGGCAGTTAGAGCGGTGACTGTGGAGAGCCGGGACGCAGCAGATGGGAATCCAAAAGGGTCTCTCTTGGATATCTGTTGTTATGTCTTTTTAATTTTTAAAATTATATTTATTTGTGTTTGTGTGTAAGAGAGAAAACATGTCACAGCGCACGGGCGGCCATCAGAAGACAGCTTGACAGTTGTTGGTTTTCTCCTTCTACCATGCGGGACTCAGGGGTCAATCTTTTTTTTTTTTGTCATCGGACTTATAGGACAGGACCTTTACCTGTGGAGTCATCTCACTAGCCCCATAGTTCTCTCCATGGCCACTAGTGTCCACCCCCCCCCCCCCCCCCACCCGAGAAAGCCACCATCTAGCCATGGATGCCTATAGCAGAGACTTCCTTGCTTTGCTTCAACCCACGGTGTTCCCCTCAATGTACTTGGCAAGTGTATTGATTTGTGGCTTTCCTTTGTTCCGTGTCTATAAAAGTTTCATGTAACCAGTTCCTCAGGGAAGAATGCATTTGGGGAAACTTGCACCCATGCCCTCAGGCCATGCTCATTCATGTTTGGCTCAGAGTAAACTCTCTTACTCACTTGGGAAGGAGAACTGAGTTTACATTGCGTATTCTGGGATAGAAATCTTTCCATGCCCACAACATCTAAGATCCCAGAGGAAACAATCTTCACTTAAAACAAGCTTGTTGTCAAGACCTGAAAACCACAGAATAATGTGAGCCATGGCAAAACAGTCATGAGGTGAGCAGTGGGGAAAGCAAATTTACAGCAGTGTTCGACGTATTAAGTATATTAGGCATTTAAAGAATACGAGTGAGTATTAGTAACTATTAGGTAAAAATAAGAGTTTATATGCTTAAGGGCAAGAGAAAGAAGTTACAGATAGCATAAAGACAATTCTTGATATGTATGCATGTGTGTTCATGTGTGTGGGTCAGCACTTGTATGTACCTGAATGTGGAACCCTTGGGCATCATTCCTCAGGTGCCATCTATGATGCTTTGTGAGACAGAGACTGTCTCTTGGCCCAGAATACAATGACAAGGCTTGACTGGCTGGCGAAAGATCTGCCTGCCCTGAGAGTTTGTGTGTTTCATCATGCTTGGCTAT